TTTTTTTTAACACAAATATAAACACGTGTTGCACTGGTCAAAAAAGTGAGAATGATTATACACCGCTTATAGTACATAATTATTTGTAATACATACAATACGTTTGTAATTTAATAATTAATGCATCAAAAGGTTAATAAATTAGTGTGCTGCACACAAAGCTAAAATTCAAAGCTATAGTTCCGTCGTGTCCTTGAAAATTGTTTAAACATTCACTAAAATCTGTCATTTATTCTCTCATCAGGTGATTGAGGAGATTGTGGAGATGATGGAAAACTCACCAGATCCTGGAGAGACAGAGGAAGAGGAGGAAGATGATATCGCAGTGTCTTCCTCTAAAAGCAGCCCCTCTCTGTTGGAGGAGATCCGCATGCTGTCTCAGGCCTCCAACAACAACTGCTCCTATGAAGGTGCTCGTTCAAACCTGCAATTAATAAATATATGTGAACCTCAGGGTGACTTTTCAAACTTTTCATGAATCTTCAGTTGAAACTAGATGTTAAGATGAAAGCTTGAACACTCAAACAAATTCAAATGTAGTTGCTTTAAATGTAGTTGATATATAACAGTACCAGATCATGGTCAATGTAAACATGCTCTAGAAACAGGTGCCTATCGAGTACACAGAGAAGGTTTCTATTTTAATCTGGTGTTTCAGCATTTCTTCATCCCAGATCATGTTTTTGAAACCAAAGATGCAGTGGAGCAAAAGCAAATGAAAAATTGCCCATGTCAACTGAGAGCGACACTAAAGAAACAATACAACATTAGTCACAGTGTGAAAGTCAAGTGTTGCTCGCTTTGATCAAGTCTTATTAAACCCAATGCTTGTCATGCAGGTCTGAGGCTGATGCCAAGCTCGGCGCTGCTTGACATCTTGTGCCGGATGGAGGCGGCGATACGAGAGTATTCGGAGGAGCTGGTGGCCCAGCTGGCCCGGAGGGACGAGCTGGAGTTTGAGAAGGAGGTGAAGAACACCTTCATCACAGCTCTGATGGAGGTCCAAAACAGACAGAAGGAGCAAAGGGAGCTGAGCAAGCGCAGGCGTAAG